TTGGGGAGTCCATCAGGGTGATTAAAACAGAACATAATCACCACTTTGTGCAAAGGAAAACCATGGCACTTAACTATGGCAATTAATATCTATGTTGTTTTAGAAACATCTGAATAGATGGCTTCCAATTCATCATTGCTCAGTATCCAGAAAGGAAAATCTTAGCAATGTTTCTACAAGAGATTTGGGCATGCAAGTGGAGACAGTACTAGCAGAAAACAAAACAAAACACCCCAAACCACCCTGATTCAGTTTCCAACTCAGAAAGACTTTCCATGGAAGCTGAGACAGCTTGCAGTATTACTATGCCCATTGGGGAAATCATAAATCCTCAGAAGAAGGTGCTGAGAAGAATTATTACAATAGGGATCGGAAAGGATCATGACATTGCATAGGATGGCAAGGAAGCCAGACCTATGAGAATGAGAAGAGCTTTATAAGATGCTTCATTGCAACAAGTCAGGGTTAAAACCACATGCTTTCAGTGCAGAAAGCTGCAAGTTGATTCCCTGGTATCTCCAGCTAGGTCAAGGAGAGAGTCCTGCTTGAAACCTTACACAACTGCTGCCAGTCAGTGTCAGCAGTGCTGGGCTAGATGGACCAGGCCTCCCACTACAAATACACTGTTGATAGATACAGTAAAAAGAAAAAGGAGCTTGATACGGCACATGACAATCCAGGTGTTAGAAACATGGGAAAATATGAAATTTTCTTTGCCAGATTTTTCTTCTAGTATTCATACCCATGGAACCTGAGTGCCTATGACTTTACATTTTGTTTTAACAGTAGGAGACACTGTACTATACGAAGGTTCCCCAAAATGAAACAAAACCCACCTGTGCTCCCTAGAAAGGCAGACTTAACAATAACAGGATGACCGCACATACGAGTATTGAGTAGAAGCTGAATGAATAGAAAAAATGGCATCTTAATAATTTAGGAGAATTTGAACTTCTGAGATATTACTAGTAATTGCCAAAAGATTCTCCCTCTTCCATTTTAGGCCTGTAGGAAAAGTTTGAAAAACTGTAATGTTTTTCAATAGGGACCAAATTGCATCTCAATATTTGTAGAGAGGTAGTAACAGCAAGCTTGTTTGATCAGTTCCATTTCAAGCCTTGATATCAAACAATAAATGGTCTGGATCCCACATAAGTCAGGTAGAACATCTCCTTTTATTACCTTTTTTGTCTAGTTCATTTCACCAACTGGCTTTGTTAATCAGAGATAAAAAAACAAGAAAGGTGAAAATTGTTAATGAGAACAAATGCACAACCATTTTATATTGTATCTGGAGATGGTGTTACTCTTGCCAAGATAAATTGTACTTTTGAATTGTAAATGTGAAAAATGCAAATCCAGTGCAAACATCCCTTGTGACCTTTCCTCCCACTCAATCCTGACATAAACCAGCTATCCAACACACCCAAACAAAATTCCAGGTACTTCACAAGGGTATTTGGAATATATAGGAATAACTGAATAGCCTGTTTTGAATGCACTCACTCTTACAAAGCAGATTTGCTGCTTGAGGATACTGTAGACCGCTGCTCTGTTCCTAGATGGTGAAGTGGTAGTAGTTTAGGAGCTACTCTCAGCAAGACCAATTGAGCCTTTACCTGGAGAAATCACACTTGTTGAAATGTGGTAAAGGTAACTTAGGTAAAGGTAAAGGTTCCCCTTGACATTTAGTCCAGTCGTGTCTGACTCTAGGGCGCGGTGCTCATCCCCATTTCCAAGCCGTAGAGCCAGCATTTGTCCGTAGATAGTTTCCATGGTCATGTGGCCAGCACAACTAGACACGGAATGCCTTTACCTTCCCACCAAGGTGGTACCTATTTATCTCCATGTATTTATATGCTTTTGAACTGCTAGGCTGGCAGGAGCTGGGATAAGCGATGGGAGCTCACTCCGTTGTGTGGATTCGATCTTACAACTGTTGGTCTTCTGACCTTGCAGCACAGAGACCTCTGCAGTTTAATCCATAGCGCCACCACATCCCTACTTTCAAATTAGACCACGGTAATGAACTCAACATTTGCTTTAAAATGCAACTGCTAAAGATTTAACTGAAACACACATATTAGAAGATGTTAGTTCAATACAACAACATCTACATTGGTTATCAATTGGTTTCTGATTTCAATTCAAGGTTCTGCTTTCGACCTTTGAAGCCACCAATAGCCTGCAACTAGAGCTCAGGGGTCTCCCCCCCCCAGGACTTTGTCAGAACATTGAGGCTACAGCCAGTACCCCCATGGAGCTTGTTTGGGACCTTCTCACTGCACTGATGTAAAAGCAAATGTGAATCAGCCCAGACTTTCCCACCCACCCCCAGTCTGCAGTGTTTTTTCCTCCAATGCTGGTATTTCTACTTTTTCCCACAACAGATCCATTCACAGCTGTTCAGATGATGTGATCGCTTGAACCAATGCAGAAAAGTGTGATCCAGCACAGACTTCACTTTCTGCCAATCCCCTCTGAGCAGAATAATGAGTTTTTTAAAAGGCAGAGTTTGGTGCCAGAACTGTTGCACTAGGGCACCTAGACACACACACACACAGAGAGAGAATAGGAGAACGGGAAATGAAGGGAGGAAATTGCTACTCAGCCCTTGCTTACAGCTTATTGAGGTAGTTCTCCTGTAGCTGTGCCTCCTGCAAATCAGGAGAGCCATAAGAGAGCTATGTCAACAAGCTGCAAACTAAGCTGTTTAGTCAATTCCTTCCTCTCTTCTTGTGCGGCCAGTTAATTCAAATTTACTCTGGGGAAACAAATTCCCAAGTGTGACAGAGAGTGAAGTTGCATTTTTCTCATTGTGTAGTCACACCCTAAGTCTCTGAAAATCAAACCAGACAATTATTTGGTTTGCCTGACAGGAAGTACTCTCTCATGTCTGTCACAGTATATGGTTTTCCTCACCTGAACACGTTGCATTTACCACGTTTTTCTTCTAGTTCTGTGATCAGGTTTAATTTGCAGGTTTGATTGCTGAAGTATACAACTGCCTGGAAATCCCACTGTGAGCTGAAATCACATCACTTGTAGGAAATACTCATTTCCCCTTAATGTCTAATTGAATCCCTGCTTTGTTTCTCTAGGTATTACAGGTAGGTGTGTGTTCTCCAGCTTAACAGCATGAACGTATTTGTTTTGGGGCATTTTGAGATTGGATATCTTTTCACCTTCGTGTGTTGATGAACACCTGCCAGTGTTATACTCATTCTTGTCCTTTCGGGGTCACCAAGATTCTTCTTGTTGCCTCAATTTGAAACACGAGGTGCCCTTGTTTTAAAAGCTGTTCAGTGATTATTTGGTTTATTTTAGACAGAATGTTAGCGATAATACTTATTTTGGTGATGCTCTCTATTGTTGCGTGTGGCAGTGCTGTGGTTCTCCGCCTTTAGAATTGCAACGGGGGCGGGGGGGGCAGAACAAATGCCTGAAATAGATAGGTTTTGAGGCAAAAGCACCGTCCAAAGGGTGTCAGAGACGGCAGGATCCGAACCTTTTAGGTTTGAAGGTCGCCGTTCTCTCGTCCTTTCGAGAAACTCTGCCTTGACGAGATCCTGCGCCGAACACGCGCTTTGCCTTTTAGGGTCGCGAAAAGGATCGATGGCTTTCTTGGCTCTTGCTCATTCCGCAACGAGATCCGCAGTTTCCTGCCGACAGCGGGGGACGCGGCAAGTTACAGGTTAAACACCTGCCGCGCTTCGTTGGTCAGGGAGCGAGCCCCCAGCCCCCTGGGTCTGGCGCGTCCTCGGCGGCCGAGGCCGGGGACTGGCCCGTCCCCCGAAGCAAGAACAACAGCCCGCGGTTCGCACAACTTGTCCTTTCGTTGGCCGGGAAGAGGCGAAAAACTCCCTCCCTCCCCGAGCGCAATGGCCGCCGGTTTTGGCAGCCCCAAGGGCTCCCTCCGCGCTCTCTCAGCCGCCGCCAATACAGCGCTTGCCAAGGCCAGGTTTCGAATTGGTTCTCGGGGCGCAAGGCATCGGCTAAAGAGAGGAGGCGCGGGCCGGGTGTCGTGGCAGGATCGAGGCGCTTTGCCACCAGCCCTCCCGTCAGCGGCACAGTTTCGCTTCTGCGGGAGCCATTCGGACTGGGGCTCGAGTGTGTGCGTGAAGCCCCGCAGCCCACTCCCCTGGCGGTCTCCCGGGCCGCCCTCCTCCTCCTCCTCCTCCTCCTCCTCTGCTGCTGGCAGGCTGTGGGTGGGAGTGAGTGCGAGTGTGCCAGGAGCTGGTGTGCAGGAAGGAACATCGCCGGCTCTCATTGGACGTGCGCACACGCGGGGAGGGGGCGCTCACGCACGCAGCCAGCCCATCTTCCTCCTGCCTCGCTCCAGTCACCAGGAGTGGGTCGAGTGTGGTCCCTCGCCTCTTTGCTCGACTGGCCCGACCCGCCAGACTCCGCCACCCTGGGCACCCCACGCCGGGGAAAAGCCCTCCTCCGACTCCCCAGCCGCACCCCCCCGCGGGCGAGGAACGGAGCGGAGCGCAACGATCGCGGGACAGCCCGGGCCGGTCACTCAGCGAGCCCGCCCGCTCGTCCGCCTCCCTCCTTCGCTCCGGTGGTTGCCCGCTCCGCCGCCCCTGCGAATTAGCTGCCGCCGCCGCCGCGACGGGATCTCGCCCGCGGGAGCCGCGGGTGCTNNNGCCCGGCCGAGGGTGGGTGAGTGAGGGAGGGAGGGAGTGGTTGGCGCGGCCGCTCGGGGAAGCTGCTGGTTGGCGCAATGCAACACCGCGTGGCCGCCTGCAGGGTCTGGCGGACATGCTGAGGAGGAGACGGAGGGCAAGCGGAGCGGGCGTGGAAGCGCGGGGCGGGCCTCGTCTGTCCCCGAAAGGCTCGCTTTCCCCGGCTGGGCGGGCGGCCGCGGGCGGCAGGTGGACCTTGCCGGCGCGAGGGCTCGCGGGATGAGCTCTGCGGGCGCCTGCCCTGCTCGACCCGGCCTCGCCTCTGCGATCCGGCAAGCGCTCGGGCCCCCCTCCTCAGAAGGACCTCCCAGCCACAGCCGCTGACCGCTTCTCCATGAGAGGACCGTGACCTTCCCGCGCCGTCGCCACTGAGTCTTACAATGTGGTTTCAGGATGCCCCAGAGACCCGTCGACCTCCGAGGGGCGTTTGGCTCTCGGTGCTGCTGCTGCTGGGGCTGATGAGTCTGGGCATTGCCCCCAAAGGGGGCCTGGTTCTGGCCCGGAATTGCCCCAAGGCCTGTGTGTGCGCCAGTAACATCATCAGCTGCTCCAAGGCTTCCCTGACATCTTTTCCTGTTCGCATCCCTCAGTATGCTGCCGTGCTGGACTTCAGTCATAACGAGCTGAGCCGCCTGAAAGCAGAATGGGCCCCCTCCCGTCTCTCTCATCTTCACTCGCTGGTCCTGAGCCACAACAGCCTTTACTTCATCTCCACCGAGGCCTTCAGCAATGTCCCTCACCTCAAGTACTTAGACCTCTCCTCTAACGCCATTACCTCGCTAGATGAGAACATCTTCAGTAAGCTGGTGGAGTTAGAGGTCCTGCTCCTCTACAGCAACAAGATCACCAAGATTGACCGCTCAGCTTTTGAGGAGATGAGCCACCTTCAGAAACTATACCTGAGCCATAATAAAATCTCCCGCTTACCGCTGGAGCTGGTGAAAACGGACGCGGCGAAACTCCCTCGGCTCTCCTTGCTAGACCTTTCCTCCAATGAGATCAAGAACCTGCTTGTGAAGGAGGTGAACAACCTCCCAGCCTGGGTGAAAAATGGTCTGTATGTTCATGGCAACCCCCTCACCTGCCACTGCGAGCTCTACAACCTCTTCAGCCACTGGCAAAAAAGGCAGCTCAGCTCAGCCATAGACTTTGAGGAGGAGCTCACATGTCTCAAGCAGGGGATGGATTTTAAAATTTCCAACCTGAGTAACCCAGAGGTCATGAACTGCAGTGAGTTCAAGGAACAGACCTTGGAGGTCCACCGTGGGGAGCGGGTCGTCATCAATTGTGACACCAGGCAGCAAGAAGTGACCAACCGAGAGTGGCTGACCCCCAAGAACGAGCCTGTTCCACAGGAGGGAGACAACAGCTCCATGACTGTGCTGACCAACGGAAGCCTTCAGATAAAGAACATCAGCGTGGAGGACATGGGCCCCTACACCTGCTACGCAGTGAGCCAGGTGTTCAACGACACCTTTTATGTGCATGTCACAGTCCATAACTACTCTTTGCATGGGATCCCTGATACCCTCAACACCGCCTACACAACACTTGTGGGCTGTATCCTGAGTGTCATTCTTGTGCTCATCTACCTTTACCTGACTCCGTGCCGTTGTTGGTGCTGCCACAGTGAGAAACAGCCTAACCAACAGGAGGACAGCATCAACTCCTCAGTGCTCAGCACCACTCCCAACCACAACGCTGAAGGGGCAGGAGGCAAGGAGGCATTACATCAGCACACGGGGCCAAGCAACGCGCGAGGCCAGAATGGCAAGTGCAAACCCAACAGCTCCCCAAAACAAGCTGCAAAAGGAGCCCAGAAGGCAGAGAGGAAAATGTCAGATCCAGACTCTGTCAGTTCAGTTTTCTCAGATACTCCCATCGTGGGAAGCTCCCAGAATGAAAGTGGGAGAGGAGGTAGTAGAGACAAGGTAGGGCCTGAATTAGTGGGGCTCCTGTGATGCTTACGGCATGGAGAAGAAGGACGTAAACCAGTTCATTTCCAGGAGGCATAAAAGTCATGCCTAGTACTGTGCTTCTCCCTGCCACAGTATGTAATCGTGTTCCTCTTTCATTCTCCTCCTTTCAAAAGTCCAGCGTTGAAAACCCTAAGTCCCCACTTGCTCTTGAAGCACATCAGTTCCCCAAACCCTCCCTTCTGGAATTGTCCTGATGTTTCAGCTCCCAAACCTCCTGCTGAGAAAAGCAGAGCACGCGGTCAATGGCCCAGCTGACTTACTAGTTTTCTCTGGAGTCCTGTTTTATTGGCATCCATCCCACCCTTGAAGAGACTTCCTACCCAAGCAAGGAGGAGGTCCAGAGGGGCAGCCCTGTGCACCTATCATAGCAGAAGAGGCTGCATCCTATGCCCTCATCAATGCTACCAATATAATTGTGACATACCAGTACTATACGTTGCAGCCTGCTCCATCACATGCATGAAGTGGGCTTTAAAAAAGATCTTTCAAGCTATCTTTCATGCAAATCAACCATATTATTCATTATAGTAGCTCCAGCTCAAGCTGAGTAGTTCCAATTAGCCACAGCGCTAGGGGTGGGTGGGAAGGAAGCTTCCCTTTTTAAAAACAGCTTAATGTATTTTTAAAAAAATGATACATGTAAAGAAAGTCTTTTTCCCACCATACCAGGCTCCTCAGGATAAAATTCAAAGTGTTTTTAGCAAGCAGGCCAGCCTGTTTTGGAAACCACTGCCTGCTTTACCTATTTGTTTTTTGTTTTTAAGATTCTGGAAAAAAAAATTAAAACTGAAAGTTTGAAAACACAGCAGTGGAAGGGATAATTATGTAATCTCTCTTCAGCAGAGAACTCCCTAAAAAGGAGTTGAACCCGAGGCTTTTAACCTCTGTGGTATCACAGTGATGCCACAGAAGGGACCAACAGTTTTAGAAACTGATAAATCAGAGCAGCTTGCTGCAAGATTCAGCAAAGACAGGAAGACAACTTGGCGTAGCCCAAATTGACTATTTTCGCTTCTTGTTTCTTTGTGTGGCAGCTCAACAATCACATTCCCATAATTTTATTACATAGTCTTAACACGCCATGGTTAAACCCTGGGTTCCAGCACAGCTCTTCCTCCTTCTAAAACATCATTGAGCCCAGAGCTTGGAGGAAGCTTGGATAGATCCAGGCAATCTCGAAGTATTTAGCAACTTTAACATCCCCAAGTAAGGTTTTCCTCATTAGGAGATCTGCGATTCTTCAAACACCAGGTGCTTGATGAGAGAAAGTAAAACATACAACCGATTCTAATTAAAAATGGCAGCAAAGCCATCTCTGGAGCAACGCTGCCGAGCAGCACTTCAGGCCAAGCAGAGGCCTTCGTGGAATGTGCTTGTGCTGCAACATATACCACTATATCCAGTTTTGTTTTCTGTTATTGGTTTTCATTTTTAATTCCTTCCTACCAACTCTCTGGGTTTATCCCTCAACCTTTCTCAGGGAGCAGAATGTAGAAAAAAAAAGGGATACAGACTAGTTTTGAGAGTCACAATGGCATGATGCTTTTTCTTCTAATTCTACAAGAGTTCAAGAGAAGTTGTGTCCAGATGGCACTTTGCAGATCTCTTTGTGGGAAACTAGTAGCATCAGCTCACATGAGGTAATTCTCAAGTCAGTGCAGTGAAAAGGTCCCATACAAGCCATGGAACTTGTCCCTGTTCCCATTTTTCAATACTCAGCAGAGAAGGCTGACTCCTGTCTGCTCTGCCCAACTCTGAATGTTCCATTCAGTAGGCATGACCTATGAAGCAACCCAGAAAGAGTGCTGTGAAGGGAGATTCCCCCCTCCCTGTGAAGGGAGAGTCCCCCCCCCCAATATCTATTGCACTGCAAAGGTTTCCATTTGTTTTGGATTCAGACTGCCTTGCTAGCTCCAGTCAAATTGTTCGGTTGCCTGCAGAGAAGAGCTAGAAACAATGGGGAGACACCAGAGGAATCAGGATGTACAGGGGAGGTCAATGGGACCAAATAAGCCATAGAATGTACTGCACAAAGATGTGAATGAGTCCAAACCATTTTTGTTCCTAAAGAAGAGAGCTCTGTCCAACAGCCATTGAAGAACCCTGCTCACGGCTCAGAGGCTTGTTGTCATCAGTCTGTTAGAGAGACACTCTTGGACTGGGCAGAGCCGAAAGGGACTGCTAAACCAAGCCGCCAGAGGCAAACCCCTTTCACTCAAACTGACCTCTGGAACTACGGTCTTTGTTAGTTACAATTAAGTCCTCTCAAAAGACCAAGCAGTCAATGGGATGAGACTGCAAACCATGTGAAGGAGATAAAGGAGAGGGGGCTGAAGCTTTCCTTTAAAAAAAAAAAGTGGAGTGAACGAAAATAATGTATTTAATATATCAATGTACTTTCCAATTAAATTATTGCATTGGAAGTGGTGAAAGCAGGGCATGTTTAGCAATAACGGACCAGGAGAACTGACCAGTTTTGTACGCCTATGGTTGCATTAGTTCAAGTGAAATTATGAAAGTTGCTATGGTCTCCAAAACTCTCTTCATTCAAGGTTTTGCAGTAAATCTGGTTTCTGAAATTCCTAAATGCCAGATGCAAAATTAGAATGAATTAAGCAGAAGGAAGACCGAGATTCCCTGTGCATGTTTTTAATTAATGAAACAATACATCAGCCAGGGTGTTGACATAATCTTCCCCAAAATCCAGTGACCTTGTACTATAATAGTATTGGCTGTGCATTTATTTATCATGCTAGAACATTTTAATGAACTCAGTTTACTGTGAAGCACTTCCAGGGTGGGGGTGCGGAGGGGTTATTGTAATAGGAAGTTGGAGGAACACCGTTTGCCACTTGTTGGGTTTCTTGTCACTTAAATCCTTTACTTATTTTTTGTATTTGTGAGAAAGAGCCAGGCTGCAAATCACAAAGGTGCAGGTGTAGCAGTAAGCCAAGGAGAGGAATCAGTCTACTTTAATCCAAGGCTACTGTATCTGAAAGGAGAGGACAGAGGTCTACTATCTGGATAGCCACAGTGCAGACACCAGGGACGCTGGTATATAATGCAGCACAACTGCATCTCTGTGCAGCTATCTTGACACAAACGTGTGTACCAGATGCATCATCACAAGTTTCCTCATGCTCATAGCATGATTCTGTTGCACTTAATAAGTAGGGCATCTGAAGCTGCCTTATGCGAAGTCGTACCATTTGCCCATCTAGCCAGTTCATATCTACTTTGCTTTGCAGTGATTAACCCTGCTTGCAGTCAAAGCTCTTTCTCCTCCTTGAAATCTGAGTTCAGTTATAACTGGAGTTGGCAAGGACCAAGACTGGGCCTTTGGGCATGCAAGCAGAGCTGAATGGCACACAGTTCTGGTTTGATATAGCTGTGCAAATTGAATGCTAGCATGAGTTGAAATAAGAGTGTACAAAGCCAGTAGGTGTTTTAAGTATGCACATGTGTGCAAGTATGAATTGCATGTGTTGGGTATCCACACTTCTGAACCCATGTGCAGCATACAAAGCCTCTAATACTATGCTACAAAAGCTTCATGCTTAGGTTATGCTAGTGGAAGGATAACACACTTGTAGAAGGAAAAACAGTACACAAACTAGTTGGACTGTCTTTGCTGAAACACTTGATTTAGGTCTTGGACCCTGTTCAAAGACTTCTATTAGAGCATAGTCTCTCAAGACGGAAGGATGCCTACTAGATGATTTAGCAAACCTTAAGCATGTTTTTAAGGGACATGGTGGTGCTCCGGGCTAAACCGCAGAAGCCTTTGTGTGCTGCAGGGTCAGAAGACCAGCAGTCATAGGATCGAATCCACATGATAGAGTGAGCTCCCAGCGCTTTGTCACAGCTCCTCGCCAACCTAGTAGTTCGAAAGCATGTAAATGCGAGTAGATAAATAGGTACCATCTCGGTGGGAAGGTAAACAGCGTTCTGTGTATAGCCGTGCTGGCCACATGACAACAGAAACTGTCTTCGGACAAACGCTGGCTCTATGGTTGGAAATGGGGATGAGCACCGCCCCCTAGAGTCGAACACGACTGACTAAAATGTCAAGGGGAACCTTTACCTTTAAGCATGTTTTTATTCATGTTTCTCACTGAGTGAGGAAGCAACATCATCACATCCTGGGCTGAGGAACCTTTGGCTTTCCAGATATTTTTGCCTACAAGTCCCATCAGCCCCATCAAGCATAGCCAATGATAACTGATTGTGGAGCTGTAGTTTGAACTACCTGGAGTAACAAAAGTTTGTCTTCTTTGGCACGCCCTTACAATCCTTATTTATTAACAGAGTGAAGCCTTTTCTAATGCTTCCCCAGAGTTCCTCAGTCCACCAAAGAGATAATGAAAACTGTTTTAGGAAGCAGGAGTCTGGGATATCCCTGTATGATTTATTTAAGCATAGTATCCCTTGTGATGAAGTTACTCCTCCATATGGAAATACCCATGTCTGTGTCAGACAGTGAGCCTATGTTTTCCCCTATGTATCAGCCTGTGTAATAGATGAGCAGTTCATGCAATTAACTAATAACCCATCATGAAAATGTTTCATTCAGTAGCTTGGCTGTAATGATATGTTAAGAAGAGTATCTTAGAAGCTTTGTAGGACAATATTGGGGGACATGGTCAGAGGCAGGATTGCTGGGTGTGTGTGCTGAGGCCAGCCTCCAACAGGGGCCCACGGCTGCTGAGTCTGCTCCTCCTCCTTTTAGCTTTCTCCTCTTCTTGTGCCCTCTCTGAGCGCATGATGAATGTGAACGGTAAGGAGGTGGAGCAGCACACTTCATTTCTCTTGTGCTCTCCTCCAAAGTTTTTGTGTGGATTAGGTCTGGAGGTAGAAAGCAAATGAATGGCAATGCATAGATTGATAAAGAGGTGGTGAACCCACTGACAGCATCCTTCCCAAATAATGGAGCTGGCAATATTGCTGGGTAGATTTTTGTGAGCAGAGCAGTGCAGTAGAATACTCTACTAGGACCAACCAAACATCAGCTGATTTGGTGGCAGGTTGTCATAAAAAGGGAGATGGATCACTGGTTTAAATGCACATCATGTGTCTGGGGCATGCGTAATACCTCCATCCTTTAACCAAACTGAAGACATCCATCTGCAGAATCCAAAGTTGCTTCCCACCTGCCATTATGATTAACCCTGATTTGATGTTATCCCTACACCCCTAAAATCCTAACCCAACATTTCTTATCTAACAGTGTACTTTGATTCCTCTTCTCTCAGGTGTATCAAAATGCTCATTCTATATGTAAAATGAGTTTTGAGTCAGCTTTCTTAGTGCTTCAGTTAACTAGCTGCACTCCTTTCACAGTAACTTAAGAATGATTTGACATCAAAGTATCAGAGTGGAGGAGCACCTCAGTGCTATTTCTTATAACTCTCCTAGAACCATTGTCAAAATTGTGAACTCGGCAGAAAAAAATAGCTCTCCTTGTTTTTTGCTCCACAGATATTATGCCTCATCAATAATTATCAAGACAACCTTTTTTATTCCACCTAAACTCACAGTCAGAAAAGAAGCCACCTACTTGTTTCCCTGTTGCAAACTGGTGGCCTTAGCTTTATGTGTGTTATATGCTGTCAAATAGTATCTGGTTTCTAATATCCCTAGTAGGGTTTTCAAGAAAAGTGAGATATTTAATGAGTGGTTTGACCAGAGCAAACTGCCCCTCCCTCTGAGTTTCCATGCCTCAGCAGGGATATGAACACAGGTCTCCTGAATCTGAGTCTATCCACTACACCACACTGGCTAAGCTGTACAAAGAAGGGAAATCTGGAGACTGTACAAAATAGTAAGGGGGGCACACTGGGCTCACTGGCCACATGTTTTGCATCTTTGGCATAAAAGAAGGATCTGAACACTTCATCAAACTTCCTAGAAGCTACTTTTTGGGTTATAACTCACGGAAGCCTGCAGCCACTAACCAGAAGATTCTGGGAGATATAGTCCCCAAAAGCACCTTTTTCATCCTCTGCTATCCATATGATAACCACTAGTTTTTTTTAAAAAAAATACACACCTGCTTGACCATTACTATCTTTGAGACTCTATAAGGCTGATTAATGGTAGGGTAATTTAGAAGTTTCATATATTTCATCCAAGGTATACGCATCAGGACTACTGCTTTTATTTGTTACATCTCCCCCTGTGTTATCTCATCAGTTAGCAATATCGTCCATGAACATGGTGGAGAAGGAATTCAGGTGAGGCTGCAAAGATAAGTGCTGCACTTTTTGTGTTCAAAGGTACCTTGGACTGCATGAGATAGGGCTGCCCTGAGTTCTGTCTGCCTGTCTGATGGGGTCAAACGTTGGAATCTCAACAGAGTAGGAAAGAGTTGGCTGCACAGCCAATCCACTACAGTATTTGCATTTCAGGAGGAGTCAGTAGACGTGATTCCCATTCTCAGTGCTTTAGTCAATGCTGGGAATGACAAACCGGCAATGCTGCTGCAAGCATGGCTTCTCAAAGAAAAAGAAAGGAAATCCAAGGACTTAGAATTTGGCAGCAGGGGATTTCTTAGGAGATTATTGGAAAACCCTCCCAAATCCCAGTGGAGAACAGAAATTAGGTCTGCGTGTGTCTGCATATGCAAGAGGAAGGCAAGCATCCTGCTCCCACTTTTTCCCTCTAGGTCTGTGAATTCATGCAGCAAAGCAAAGACGGCTTATCTAGCTCCACAAAGAAGGTTACCACATGCTTTGTAGTCCAGCATGGCCTCCTCTCCTATTCACCGTTCTGTGGTCTGCAGGCCTAGCAAAATGTTATTCTAACCTGCAGAGGAAAACATACATGCTTATTTATTTCAGACAGAGACAATCCCAAAGAGCATCTGGGCTGCGTTTCTCTGTCGGGCAATCTGTACTCTCCAGCATAGACCTAGGTGAAAATAAAACATGTCTTATGAATACACACCTTGAGGACCTGTATGCTTTTTTTTTATCACCGTGGTTAACAATGGCTTCAGTATTGGAAAGTGGGCTCAAAGGCCCACCTGACATGATGTGAGGCTTGGATGCATTTCATCACTGACTATTACCTGTAAGTAAACATGGCCAAGGTCAGGTATTCAGGACAAGCTCTGGTTCGTTGTACAGTGTGCCACTGCAAAAGAATCATAAAACTGCAAGCATGTCTATTTTTTTTCTGTCCATGTCAGTTGCTCCGCCCCATCCAATCCCAAATTAAGGTGCAGCTAAGACCCATGGCTTATGGAGTCTGACCAGAGCAGAGTGCAAAATATTGAACTGCAGCTCATAGCAGACCATGGCAGTGATGAGGGATGGTGGCAAATAATTACAGTCTGACCCAGCATGACCAGTTGTTAGGTATTTTGGGAGTTCACGAACAAACCCAAAGTTGGGTGCCCACTGATTTGGGGTCCATAAAACTGGGCAAAAAAAGGGCCATTGATAAGACATCACCTGCATCTTGCATAAGATTATTGTGGCCAATATCAAGCAAAAACAAAAAAAAATGTGTATGTGCTGGCTGCATGAGAAATCTCATGTTGCCACTCATTCATCTGACAAAGGCTCTGTGTCTTTAAAAGTAAAATTAAACAGTTGTCATTTATCAAACCTCTATATACCCACCCCCAGCAGCAGGTGCCCAGTTTTCTGCCGAACATGCAGCTCTTAACTAACATGGAACTTGTAATCCATCCAGATAATTTTTGCTATTAGACAATATATAAATAATGGAAATTAATTTATCTTATTTTATTAATCAATCATTTATCAATAAAAATAAAGATACAGAGTAGTGAGTAAGTGACTATGGCAACTTTCATGCAAACATACAGAGGGCACAATACAATGCAATATAGATCTCTCTCTCTCTCTCTCTCTCTCTCACACACATTTTGTACACACACACACACACACACACACTCTAGCATGTAGGATTCTATGAGAGCAAAAGATTCCTGCGGTAAAACTAATGTCATCTAAACTGAGGGCAACGCTCATCAAAGGGGTAGTTGCATTTATTTATGAATGAAAGCATACACTTCATAGGACATGTGACTTGTGCTACCCTGGACTTTGCAGCACTAAAGGTATGACAGAGGAGATTGATCTGACCAGGCAGTAACACAGCTGAAGCATTCAGGGCAAGAATTTGCCACAGGCAATGGAGGAAGCGCATGATAAAGTATCTTCCCCAAGCAACCCCCAGTATTTGCAACCCAGAATGTTCATACAGTGGAAGTATTACTAAGTTATGAATTTCTTCTGAAATCTCCTCTTCCTCTACTTTTTAAAACTGCCCCCCCCCCATATTTATTATCCCTTTCTTATCCCTGGTGAGCAATTCTTGGGGACACTATGGCCAAAAATACATTTAGAGACCCACTTATTTTTAAGTATATCTTTGTATAGTAGTTGCAACCCAGCTTAAGGCATGATTTAGCCCTCCAGTTCTAGTTGGGCAGCAGCATTTCCAGCATTCATCATCATCCCTGTAGAAGTGCAGAGCTGGAAGGGGCCTAATGGATCATTGAGTCCAGCCCTTGTCAGGGAGTCATAGTAGGGAATCAAACTCCCAACCTGTGGCTCCATGGCCAGAGACCTAAACCACAGAGCTATCCTCACAAGTTGGCTGGGGTAAAAGAAGGCAGAGTCCATTAACATCTACATCATCACTGGTTGTCCCATTTCAGAGCTACTGCATCACAACCCAACTACTGAAGAAGGAGGATTTAGGCCAATTTAGATCAAGGCAACCACCCTGGTGATCTCCAGTCTGCCACTTCCATTACTCTTGCTGGCCTACCCGCTGCCCTAAGGGCTTTGGAAGCTGGAATCCAAAACATCTCCAGAGCAACTGGTTGAGTAGCCTTAGTAGAGATAGTATCTTTTCAATAGATTCACATAGTCTCTCCAGTCTCCCAGGAATGCTTTTG